AGAACTTTCCCACCCCCTAAGCCCCACTCTGAGGACGCTGGCAGAGGACCAGCGAAAGCTAAGTTGTTTTAACCTTGTATGTAACTGTTTTTATTGTTTTTAAATGTTGTTTTAACAATAAATAACTGGAGTATACACTTCCCGGAGATCGAAGATTGTATCATTGAATATATATATACATATATATATATATATATATATATATAGATATATATATATATATATACACACATATATATATATATATCTATTAATATATATATATATATATATATATATATATATATATATATGAGGTTTTCGCGGGTGTTTGTATGTAGGTCTTTGGTTATTCGGGTTTTCTCCCGCATCAAATTGGAAGTGTCTTGGCGACGTTTCGACCAAGTCCCATTCGTCATCTTCCGGATGGTGTTTTTGGCTTCTTGCTTCTAGGAGCAATGTGTGATCGTAGCTGTTTCTTCCTTTTAACTGCCAGTGGGGGTATGAACTGATTGGGTGGGAGCTTGGCTGTGTTCTGATTGGGTGGCGGTGTGTTCTGATTGGTTAGGGGCTTGGCTGTGTTCTGATTGGATGGGGGGTTGGCTGTGCTCTGATTGGATGGGGGAGTGTTCTGTTTGGGTGGGGGCTTTGTTGTGCTCAGGTTGGTCTGAGTTGCAGGGGGTTTTAAGATGGTGGGCTGCCTTGCTATTTTTTGGCTTCGCGTTCGTGGTCGTGCCTTATCTTCATTGTGGGCGTCAGTTTGCTTCATGTATGGATTGGAGGGGTTTGAAGTGGCTAATGATGCAGCTGTGGTCTGGTTTCTGGTTTGTGGTCGTGCCTCATCATCAGTGTGGGTTTGGGTTTGCTTTTTGCATGGATTTGTGGTGGTGACATCCTGTGTGGTTTTCATGAGTGTGGGTCTGGTGTCAATCTTTGTGTTAGGGACTCGTTTGTCAATAAGGGTGGGTTTCCAAATGGCTGGTAGGTGGGAGGTATCATCTCGTTTATTCATGCTGTGTGGGCGTTTTTCTATCTCGATGGCTTCTCTGATTATTCTTTTATTAAAGTGTTCAGTTTTGGCGATAGTTTTGGTCTTTTTAAAGTCAATTTCATGTCCTGTGGCTTTAAGGTGTTGGACCAGGGAAGAAATTGGTTCCTCTGTTTTGACTGAGTTCTTGTGTTCTTCAGTGCATGCACTTATTCTTTTGTTGGTTTGTCCGATATATGTGGTGGGGCAAGCGGTGCATGGGATTTCGTATACTTCTTGATTTTCTAACTCAATTTTGACTTTGGGGTTTCTTAGGATGGTGGATATTTTTCTGTTTGTGCAGAATGCTGTCTTGATGTTGTGTTTGTGGAGGATCTTGCTGATTCTGTCTGTGGTGCCTTTTATGAAAAAGTCGAAGTCCAAAGAGCTTCCATTTTATGTGACCTTGCATTCCTACGCAACTGCCGAGATCAAAATTTAATCCCCACATATATATATATATATATGTAGCGTTATCTCCTCAGAGGCTGCCAAAAACCAAGCCCTCCCAGCCCCAGCCCCTTTGTCAAGCCCCCAGTAGTGTTCTCTAGGGGTTGATAAGATGTCTCTTCCAGCCAAAGCTCAAGCAGAATTAATAGGTAGCAGGCTCTTGTCGTCAAGGAGGGGTTTCCAGGAACGAAAATAACCAGTCACGATAGTCAATGCTATAATAATATCCAACAGCCCAAGGCCGGTATAGCAGCAGGAATAAAAGATTCCTCAGCGATCATTCAGAGTCAAGTGAGATGGAGGAAAACCCCGGCTCCAGATAATAGTAGAAACAACAACAGTCAGTGTGCTATAGCAATAGCTCATCCCCCAGGGCAACTCCCCCACAATGTCTAAAACCTGTACCAGCAGCAACGGTCACAGTCCAAATAGCCTCCAGGCTTCGCAGCAACAGTAGCCACCACCAGTCTCTCCTCTCCTTCTGTTGCTTCTTCTTCAGTCAGGTTTCAGTGTCAAAGCCCTCCGCCCCGGAAGTCGCAATGTTCTAATATTTGATGGCTGCCACAGAGAAGAAGGGGTCAACCTATTTTCCAAAGCATCAGAAGGCAATAATAGATGGAAACTAATCAAGAAGAAAACCAGCCTAGAACTAAAGACTTGTGAAAACAACTAACCAGTGAAAAGGCTTGCCTTCAGAAGTTGTGGATGCTCCATCACTGGAAGCTTTTAAGTAGAGATTGGATATTCCATTGTCTGGAATGGTATAAATCCCCTGCTTGAGCATGGGCTTGGACTAAAGATCTCAAAGGTCTCTTCCAACACTCTTTGAGAGAAGTGTTGCCAACCTCTCCCCTTCCCCTTGTCAGTTCCTGGGCATAGAGAGAGGGAGGGAGGGAAGGAAGGAAGGAGGGGAGGAAACAGAAAGAAAGAAAGGGAAAGAAAGAAGGAAGGAGATGGGAATGAAAAGGAGGGAGGCAGGGGGAAGAGGGAAGGGAGGGAGGAAGAAAGGAAGGAAGGAAGTTGGAATAAGAGGGAGGGAGGGTTTGAGGGAACTTCTGTCTTAGCACTTGGCCACCAGCAGTTTCTGTTGCCTTTTCGCCATCCTCTGGTGGTCTCCCATCCTATTGCTGAGGATGCTTTGGTTATAAAGCCAGGTCTCCTCACATGGAGAGGGAGTGGGCTTCCCTCTGACCCACGCACTTTGCCCTCCTGCACCCACCATGAGCAACCTGGCCAAGGAGAGCAAGCACAGAAGCAATAGCCTTAAGGAGGTAAATGCAGCTAGGCACCCTCTCAGGAAAGTGCAGCTAGGGTAGGCAGGGCTGTGGGGTCCTGGTGCTGTGGGAGCTCAAGAGCCGGGCTGGGCGCTTGACCTCTGCTGCCCAGGGCTCTAGGCAGTCCGTGCCACCATCCAGGGGCCCCCTACATGGCCTGAGGCTCAGTGAGGCTCCTCCAGTGGACCATGCCCCGGCGCTCGCCCCAGTCCCACCTCCCTTCCGCCGGAGACCCTCAGATCCGCCTCAGTCCTGCCAGGCCCGCACAAGCGCCCCTGACACGAGTGACATTGAACTGGCCATGCCCACCCAGTAGGCCATGCCCATGGCAACCACACCCACCCAGTGGGCCACGTCCATCCGGCCCTCGATGATAAATAAATGTGGTTTGGGTTGCAGTTTGGGTACTCGGTCTCTAAAAGGTTCACCATCACAGCTATATCTGGTAAAGATGAATATATCTGTTGATTTCTTTTCAGTATGTCTGAATAATTGCTTAATTCTACAATTCAAAGCATTGCTTCTATAAACGTCTCTTTTTTTCAAAATGCATGTTTGATTTGTTTAAATTATCAAAAATTAAATTGAAATATTCAGATAAATATGAAATGTTAGACAGCTACCAAGGAACTATATAGCAGGAAGATCTCCTGGACAAAGAGAAGGCTGGAATGTGTAATTAAGTGTCAGAGTATTGGCAAATACATTGCTAGAACAACTGAACATGGATGCTATAGAATGAATCATTGTTAATTCTTGGGATGATTTGGGATAGTTAAGAAGCCGTGGTAAATTTTCTGAGTTGATTATAATAAGTTTGTTAACAGAGGTGTTTGAACTTATAACCTTGTTTTATTATCATTGTTCTTCTTGCTAACTATTTTGTCATTAATATAGTATATAGTTGACAGATAAATAATTTGCAAATAGAATTAATAGTTTAGTAGTTTAAAATATTTTGGGCCTGTTTCACAAGGGGTAGGAAGCTAATATTGTTGTAATATATTAATCACTATTCAACTGGGGGAAATATGTGTATATGTGTTAGTTTTTTATGCATATGTTTAGTGTCTTGTTTGTTTTGTGTTTTTTCTTTGTTACTTAATTTTTTTGGGGTGTATTTCATTTTACCTTTTTTAAAAAATAAAATTAAAATAGATGGAACAAAAAGAAGAAAGTGGCATAAACAAAAGCACCAAGTTCCAAACTTCAAGCTGCTACTCTGAAAGTTAGCTAATCATGTCTTAGAGCCTGAATGACTGACTTGGTATGATTCATAGAAATGTGTTTATCAACAAAGTAAATTCCTGCAAAGAAAAATAGCAATTAGCAAATGGAAAGTGTTGTGAGATCTCCAGTCAGTAGATGGCACTAAGCTTCAAGATGGCATTTAGAAGTTTAAAGGAAGGAGTTCCAGTAGCAGGGTGGAGGAAATCCCCAGCTTGATTACATTAACTGGTATTATACCAGGAATTAAGAAATGCTAGCAACAATGTGCTTCAGGGAGAATCTATGCTTTCTTTGGCTTCACTCCATCTTGACACCTATCCCATCATGTCAGCTGTCATGACTAAATAAAAGGGATCTAAAACTGAGTTGCTGAAACATGAGAATTAGCAGTTCAGCAGGCAACATGGAGATTTGCCAATACAGGGAGAAACTAGCAATTTATTATAATTTTAAATAAAGAGGAGCAAGGGTGGCTTGGCGCAGATCTTAGAGGTAGTGATTCAGTTGCTAGCTGCCTGGTGCACAAGTATTGATTGACTTGACCGCTCATGATCACCTTTACAAATCTGCCTGTAGTATGGTGTTGTATGAATAAATCTGAAAATAGTTCAGGAAGCCAATCTTGGACTTATTTTAAACAAGATTCAGAAAGATTGTGAGACAGAAAGTCAAAGTAATAAATCTGAAAATGCAGTGTAAAGCTTCCCACAAGCTAGAATGGTGCTCTTGTAAGATATCAAATTGGGGGGGGGGAATCAGTGTGGGCTCTCTCAAAATGACCTGAAAAACTGGCTGAGATAGCTCCTGATTGTTCCTTTTGACATACCAGGTCAAACTTTGAAAGAAAGTGATCTTTTTTCCTGCCCCAGCTCCTTGATAATCATTTCAAGTAATCTACCAAATCTTATAATACAAGCCATATTTTTCTTTCACTATAAAGAAACAAAGAACTATTCAACAAACAGAAAATTTGTTCTGAGCTTTACCCCAGAAGCTGGAAGTGCAGCACCTTCCATTTTTGAGCAGACTCCATTCTCATCTTTGCTGTGGTTTTTTATATTTCAAAGACAATACAAATGAACTAAAATTTACAATGAGTGCCGATACACATATTCAGTCTGAATAATAAGTGAATTAATGTTTAAGTACTTAAAATCAAGAATATCTGCAGATTATTAGTAAATAAGATGACAAATAGAAAATACACCCCATGGCTTGCTTAGCCCTTTAACTATAGCATTCTGGTATAGCATAGTTACTTGAATAAGAATCATATAAACATTATTTTGATTTATGTTCATATCTGAAACCATGTTCATGGGTGTCCTAAAGAGGAACCATGTACTTCCTGCTATAGTTCATATTTTTATTGCTCTCTGTAGGATACTTGATGCTGTTCAGATGCAGTATGATTTCTTTCTTCCTCTTCTGCAGATTGCAAGATGCGAATCTTGATTCTCCAGTTGCAGTTGCTTGGAGGCAATGTAGGTAAAGTTGAGATATTTACACCTTGTCCTGTCTGTGACTTTGTTGGGCTCAGAAGGATGACCATTTGTGAACAGACTTTGCACTCCAGAATTGATTCAACAGAAGTTCAACTCTTCTTACATAATAAAGCTATTTATATTTTCACAAGAAAAGTTTCATTTCTGGTAATCCACACATGAGAGGGTAGTGCACGAGAAGCATGAGTAGGATTTCCTCTTTCTGAATAAGTTAATACCTTTTTTTAAAAAAAAACCCATCACTCAACTTACTGAAGAGGTAATATGCAACAAACCCCCATAATGATTTCAAATTATTTCATAATTCCTGAAATATCTTGGTGCACATCAAAAAGACTTTCACAGAAGTCTGACTGCACCAAAAAATGTGACATCTCCATTCAAGACTATTTTGGCACTTGTGCGTGGTATGGTAAGCTGAAGTTCATCTCCTTCTTCTAATTTTGCAACACCTGCCAAAATATTGCAATCATTTTAAGTACAACAGTCTAATATACCCCCCCCCCCAAAATGGCTATGGTTTGGCTAGTCCTTAATTGACAAAGCTACCACCTTTTTTCATTTTGAGGTAAAAAAATGCATGTTATATACATTATATACACCTATAAATAAGGTATATATAAATAAATATAGTCTTCAAGGTACCATAGGCCATTTAATGAACATTCAAAGTTATAACAACTCCTCCCCCTCCAAAAGCTATATATGAGCCCGTTTCAAAGTTACAATGCCTGCAGCTCCCCCATGGTCCCATTCTCCCCCCCCCCCCATCCTGCTTGCTGGGTCCTCATAGATACTGGGCCTGCTCTGCCACCCCACTGGCTTCCATACACTCCTCCCCATACCCAGTCACTGTTCTCCCACTTATCTTTTGAAAATATCCAGAACTCAGAAAGTCAGGGTAGGGAAGGCTACTCTATTGTTGGGACACATGGCACAATTGAGGAGAAGAAATCCTGTCAGTTTTGCTTTCTTTGCTGTGCTTTGTTCCCCCAGGGCCAGCAACACTAATGTAAAACTACTATTGCTGGCACTGTGGGAGGAAAATGTTGTGAGGAAAGCAAAACCGGCAGGATTTCTTCTTAGCTTCTCCCGCGTCACCAACGCTAGCATAAAGCTAGTGCTGCTGGTCCTGGGGGAGCAAAACATAGCCAGGAAAGCAGAACTGAAAGGATTTCTTCCCCTCAGTTCTGCCATATAGCCCAGCAATGGAGCAGCCTTCTCTACTCCAACTTCCTGAGCTCTGGATATCCTTGAAAGGCAAGTGTGTGATTGTGACATGGTAGGATAGGGAGGAGATCATATGGATGTGGGGAACCCAAGGGGCAGAAAGTGAGCATGCGGTATCTCAGAGGGTAGGGGCAAGCCTTGGGGGGTCCAAATGGGTGGGCCAGTCCTGCACTAGGCCTCCCATGATCTCTCCCACCTAAGTCACGCCATGCTCTACTTAATGACCCATGCATTTCATTTAATGTTTAACAAATGCATTGGGGAGAGCAAGGATGGGGAGGTTGTTAATGGCATAGTTCATTTTATATAGATCCCAACCTCCGACACTATGGGCAGGTTCCATTACTGTTGTAAATCAAGGACTATCTGTCAGTCTTTTTATAGAGGGATTTTGACTTCCAACATGAATGGAAAGCAGACTAGTGGGGTATAGTAGATATGAGGTATAGTTTAAAATTATGGAAGCTGCTTGGGGAGGCTTTGGATCAGTCACTCTTTCTGATTCCAGCCTCTCCTGAAGAATTTTCATGAGGCTGAAATGATGGAAGATCATGGACATTAGTCCATAAGCTCTTTGGAGAATGGTCAAAATATAAACAAATCAACATCAGTCAGTTGCAAAAGGCAGCCTTAATTGGAACAGCTTATATCCTGTGATGATACTTTTAACATCATCAAACAACAATATCTGCCTGTCCCAGTCCTTTGGAAAGACTCAAGTGATGGACAAAAGTAGGCAAATCTAGTCTAAACACTATGCAATCAACCATAATAAATCATGCATTTCAATTATTTCAGGGATTTGGGTCCATTCAGCAGCAATGCATTTTCCAAGTCCTAGCAGATTTTATGTCTGTGTCCATCAGGCAGTCCCCAGTTCTATGCCATTTTCCTAACACAGAAAGATGTGCCAAAAAAGCAAAAAGCAATGTATATTTGCATTTGTTTCTCTAACAGAGGTTTCTGCCTGCCACTGAAATTAAGAGAAAGAATTAACGAGAACTAACCTATATGATGTAAGGAGTTCAGCATGGCCCACCACACCATCCACCACCATTCTTTTATATGGCTAATTCTCTTTCCTACCAGTAAAATTCTTATCTAGGCCAACCAATTTAGGATGGTTTTCATAATTACCTGCTGTATAACAAGAATTGTTAGGAGAGGTTTCAGGCATGTTTTGCAGGCAACGAAATAATGTAACCAGACTGAGATCATCTCCAACAACGTGGGCTTTTTTCCTCTGAATCAAATGTCCCATTACAAACATTTCATCTGTATATAAAACCTGAACAAATAAATTTCATTACAACTTTAAATTAATACTTCAGACAGATTAGTAAAAGAACTTTTTTCTCTATTTTACCTGACCATATATGAAGAAGTAGCCAGTTTCTCTGACCAGTATTTTATTTCCATGTTCTTCCAGAGCTGTTCCTCTTTTAAAGCTAAGAAGCCAGGGAACTATACTTGAATCATCTGAAAAATTATTAGTATCTCATTAAACGTGGATTAACTATTTTTCTTATATACTTCCTATGATTTTTTTTTAAAAAAGAAATAATCATGCCTTTGAGATGAGTAACTCAAACAGAAACTAACAACAAGTATTAATGTTTGATGAGAAGTTCAGATAACTAAGCCATGGCTAGTGGTTGAGGATACTTTTGATGCTTTTGTATCATCTTGCTTTTTTCAATTTTCTTTTGTAATTCAATACTTGCTTTTTTCAATATTCTTTGTACTCTATCTCAATATTTTAACAATGCATATGGATTTTAAAAGAGAGATAAGTAGTTTTTGTACACCAAGGTGAACTCCAAGGATCTTCAAGAACAGCCTCCTGACAGAAGCCATATTTTTAAGGATCTCCCAGGGTTCAGGCTGTATCAGAACTCAGCTCAGAAGACTGGTGAACTAGAGGAATGCAGTGGAATGTAGGGAAAGGTTTGTAGTCAGGTATCCTGTGTACACATGGATTTTTAGCATATAAGCTATAGAAGTAAACAAACCCTTTGGGACAGGTTATGCTTTCCCACCTGTCATCCATTGAAACAATGGACTATCAGAGTTGAAAACTTGAATCTCTAATGCTGACCCAGGGTTTCCCCTAAAATCGGAAAGGTGGAATGGTAAAATGATAATAAATATAACTGGATTTGCCCTTCCTGCATTACTTAAGAAACTTTAAGAACAAGGTTGCACTTGAGCAATTATAATGCAATGCTAAATCTGTTCACTCACAGAAAATTGGGTTGCACTAAATCATATTAAGAAATTAGTACATTACCATGTTGCTGAATGGCACTTCTGCTGTCAGCCATCAATTGCAGACACGACTGTAATACTAGAAAGAGATATTTCAGATTAGAGAGAAGGAAATTAACGTGGGATTCAAATAAAGGAAATGAAAAATAATTAGTTTCAGGAACGTGTGGGTTGTAACTCTTCCTACCCTAATGAGTTGTTAATTCAAACTGGTTCAAGGGAATTTGCATTCATATTCTGTAATGAATACATGTCGCTAGGGGCCCATTCAAACTATTCCTGGAAAAAAATGACAGTTTAGAATTATAGTATTGCTAATGTTATATTTTGAAAATAAATGAACCATGTTAAGAAGAGCAATTATAAAATGTAATACACAAGATAGGGTTATTTCACCTTTGGTTAGGTGTACATGAATTGAATGGGAGAGATAACTGATCCAGAAAAGAGAGAGAAGAATTAAAGTTCATCAAGCAACAACTCATCTAAAGGGTGGAAACTTGAAAGACACCCATCTTTTCAGCAGGAAAGTTTGCTGTTACAGATACCTCTGGTTTACCCTATCATCATCTGTTATTTTGACCATATGAGACCTTCCATGCTCAGCCACAATTCTTAATGTCCTGACCTGGACCCTGGGGTGTTTTCCCAGAGACCACTGTGAATTCCAATCAGATCTTACTTCATCCAACCAGATCTTACCTTACCTGTTTCTCCTCTCTGAGAGGGGGATCTTTTCCCCCTGTGTCTGTCTCCAGTCCACATTATGTTTCGGTTTCCTCGATGTGATCCCAAAACAATTCCCTGACAAAACACAGGCAAATAAGCATAATGAAGGCTGCAATTGCTAGCTATCTCTTCAGTGCCCAAAGGTTTTCAACTCACCTGGCTAGAAGCTGCGTTGGCCATCTTCCAGTATGAAGTGAAGGGGCTGGCTGCCTTGGGTTCATCAAGCCGTGGAAGTGAATTCCTTGCCTGAATCCTGCCATTCAGCTTGCTGGTTAGGACTGCTAGTTCTGTTTTTAGTGCAACAACATAGTAAAGGGATGCTGCTGCCAGGCAAAAGGAGACAAACACTGCAAGTCCAAGAAAGATGAATAGGAGCCCTTTACAATCAAAGCCATTAACAGAAGGAGAAGAGGGGGAAGATCCACAAGTCGTGAAGGTATTGCCTTTTTCTCGTGGGAAATTCATAGATTTCATGACTTCTTTATTAAAGCCAAGAAGAAACTTCAGCTGCTTCTTATTCTGTGCAATACAAACATTTTGCCAGTTGCATCCAAGCTATATGCTCAAAATCCCATACTGCGTGCTTCCGGTCATGAGAACCTGCTGATGCCACGTATGTTGCTTCTGCTCTGCATCTGCACAATGTAAAGCTCTATTTTTGTATTTTGGCAATGAATCTTCCTCATTTTGGTTTCTGCCTCATTTATTACCGATTATCCTTGTTATGCAGCCCCATGACCTTGCCTGACTGCACAATTTCTACCAATGCAATTGCATTTTGCAGCTGGGCAATAATTTCCTCTTTGACAAATGAGTGCATTTGTGTGGGGTGGGAGATTAAAAAGAAAAGTGGGACTTCTGTCCATTTATAGTCCCCTCTTATGCTACATACATCCCCTCTCATTAAGTCTGCTGTCATAGTAGCATTCCAGATGTTCTTGTCTCATCCATGTATAGTTTCTTCCATTAGCCCACTTACCTTTAGATTGTCCTAGTAGTGGACCTTGTTATTCCTGGTGATATTCAAGTTGGCCTGATTCTCTTAGTTCCTGTTGGTCTCATATCTGAGGCAGGCAGGTAAAGTGCTTGAGGATCTTTGCCCAAAGACCCTTACTAGTAAGATGGGTACCAATCAGGATTTGAACCCATGTCAAGAATCAATGTTCTAACCAATCTGCCATCTAGCTCCCCCATATATGCCATTACAACTTTTAAACAAGAAGATAAAAACGAACACAACTTATATAAAATAAAGAAGACAAAAAGAAAAAAAGAAAAAAGAAAAAGAAAGAAAAAATAAATGACATGATATTCTTATGATATTCTAATCTCTCTCTGTATAGTTACATTATAATACTTTTCTTTCTATAATCTGTCTGATCATCATAACCGTAAATCAGTCCAGAAACTCTTTTAAAGTGGCTAATTCTCTTGATGCAGTAGAAGATTGTCTCCTGCTTGGTATCTGGGTTCCTAGCTTTCAGTTGATGGTATATTGCCCATTAAATTAAGTGGCAATGTAATTGCTTCCACAAGCATGACCCAGAGACTTTCTACTTTAGCTCTTCAAGTCTTGACTAGGTGTCCCAAAGTTCCATAATAGAAACATCAATGAAGGTCTTTCCTCTATTTCTCTCCTGAGGACCAAGTGTTTTTTACAACTCCATTTTGCAAGTGTTTTTGGCATCATGGTCTGAGGAAACCATAATTGGGACCAGCAACTTGATCATTAAGCAAAATGGTTGCTAAGTGAAATGACAACTGTAGTAATGGTCTTAGCTCAGCTTTTCTTTGCTTTACAGACCTGTGAAGGTCATAAATGGAAGAATTTACTTTTTCATCACCATAACTGCAAAAGATCGCTAAACAAGACAGCTGTTAAACAAGGGCTACAGTACCTCTATTATATTTATGATTATTGTAGAGCCATCTTGGTAATGGTTAAGCCACCAAGCTAGAAACTGGGAGATTGTAAGTTCTAGTTCTGCATTAGGCACAAAACAAATTGGCGACCTTCAGCCAGTCACAGTCTCTTAGCCCTATGAAGGAGGCAATGGCAAACCATTTCTGAAATCTTGCCAAGAAAACTGCAGTGACTTAACCAGGTAGTCATCAGGAATTAGTAACCCAAAGGATCTCTACCTACCTACCTATTATCTCTATCTATCTATCTATCTATCTATCTATCTATCTATCTATCTATCTATCTATCTATCTATCTATCTATCTATCCTAGAATATAACTGAAAATCTGATAGTATGTACTCATAAATTCTGTGATGTCAGAATCCAATTATATTTCATTTCTAGCTACCTACTCTGAAAAAAAAACCCATTTCTTACTCTCTGTGGATTCTGTCATACTACGAAAAGGGAGGAGGAAGCAAGGGGGTTTAAAGGACTGGATGTTGATTCTCATCAAGAGGACTGACTATAACAATATGGCCATCGTCTTTCATCTACTATCTCTCTGAAGTCTCTCTTTTGCCGGCAGTGAGGGAAAAGGGGTGGAACAATGTTAACACCTGGGATCTGGGAAAAGAGAGGATGAGTGATCGTCGCCTCGAAGGACTGTGGGGTGGGGGCTGCTTGGGAACACTTAAAACATTGAATGGTAGGGGTTGATCCCTCAGATCCTGTCTAGAATGCCTTCAATCATTTTCTCTTAATAAAGATGCCTGTTGGAAGAGATATTCCAAAAGTTCTATCTTCTTAAGATGTAAAGTGAGGTGGGTCCTTACAGTTGCTTTGTTTTGTACCTTGTAAATATCTTCAAGTCAGATTGTCAAATGTAGCTCTAAATCTTTGCATAAAGGTCTGGTAATTATCTCGTAACAAATCATTCCTCTCAATGAGGGCACAAGCTATTTTGTTGCCTCTTTTTTCAGCAGAATGAAAGAACAATCCTGGAGGGAACTGTAGGAAACTGCTGGTTGACCTAGCATAACAATTCATGCCATGTGATAAAGTCAAATACTAATCTCAGGCATTTCCAAATTTCTCCAATACTCAACAGGACAGCAAAGAAATATTTTTGGGCTGCAGGCTAGCAACTTCTTTGCTTCTTGTGAGCTGCAAAATAACAAACTTGCTGCTTGATTATATATGTATTTTCTGCTTTTGCCTTAATTAGGAATCCATATTGCTAAATACTCAACAACATTGCTACTCCTTGCTGATGTGTGATCATCCCTTGCTGATGCTATTTTTTTAATTATTATTTCCCCAAAATCAATTTAAGCAATGGGGTGGGGGTGGGGGAAGTAGCTGGTAGGTTATGAAACTTGATCAGCATTGTGGATGGTTTTGTTATGGCTTATTCCTGATGCTTCCCAAGCGTCAAAAATTATTCAATAAACTTTGTTTACTGCTCTTATTCTGATGTTTCTTTCCTTCTTCAGTTTTCCAATCTGCAGCCACTTCAGCCAGTCACAATCTGTCACACTCAGGTTCTGCAATTTCCTCAATCTTTTATTTTTAAATAAATAAATTGCTTTTTTCTCTTCTGGCACTTCATCTGTTCTCCAGATTTTCTCAAATAAAATAGAGGCTCGGAAAACCATTCTATGTGCTTTGAGAAGCTGCTTTGTAACCAAAGATTCTCAGACTTTGCAATTCAAACACCATGGAGCTAGTCAAAGAAGGATCTTCCCTTCATGGGAACTGAAAAGAAAATTACTTCACACAGGTAAATATGCATCTGGTCACAATTAAGGGCTGGCAAATACAATATAAATCACAGAGAAGTATCCTTTTATTACTTATCAACAGGTCTCTCCAAATCAGTCATTCTGTGCTGATTGGCCACTCCCTTGACAGAGCTATAAACAATCATTTCAGAAATTATACAGAGGAAAGCATCAACACATGCAGCAAATGGGTGCCACAAAAAACACTGCTGCATGGAGACAGCTACTATGAAATAGATTCTCCAAAGCATCTTCCACAGGACCATTGAGGGCACCAACTTCAGTCTGTCCCAAACTGCAATTTCAAATAGACAAATCATGCAACTTTAAAAAGAGCACTATAAAAAAAGAGACAAGCACAATGCTATAATCTGAAATTTGGAAATTAGCAGCAAGCAGCCAAAGTATATTTATATTTAAAGCAAACCACACACAGGAAGAGGAGGTTAATGTTGGGAGGAATTCCCCCATTTGGGTTCTTCCAGCCGGGATTTCCACAATCTGTGCTCGAAGGAAAAAATAGAACAAGAAGCCAGCTACCAGAAAGAGAGGTTTAATCATGGAGATCAAAGCTGAGTGACAATTCAGCATGAATCCCCAGCTAGCTAGAAAGAGTGACCTCCAAGCATGAGTTTTTATACCTTTTCTTGGTTGTCAAAACTGTCATTTCTGATGTGTGGTTTCAAAACGATCGTTTCTGATTAGTGGAACAGTGTCAATTGATGGACTAATTTCTTTATTTGATCTTGCTCAGGAAAAGGTTAATCCTTGCCTCAGGAAGGAATTTGGTGTGTTTCCATGTGTTTCATTATTATTATTACAGTAGTGGCCAAAATTGTGGAAACCTTTTGGGAAAAGTGTACATTTGAGGTTTGATGGCTAATAATACCACTTTTTTTGGGAGTAGTACCATAAAATTATATATTAATGGAAAGATAATTTAATCAAGAATGTAATGCAATAACTTTTATGAAAGATTTGCTATTAGAATAGCAGTAATAAAGAAGAAAAGTGAAACACGTAGAAAATGTGAGATATACAAAAATTATCACCATAGAAAAAAATGTGATATACAAAAATTATCACCATAGAAAAAATGAGATATACAAAAATTATCACCATGTCAATTAATACTTAGTTGGGTAACCTTTAGCATAAATTATGGCCTTACAACGTCTTCCCATGGAGTGAACCAAGCCCTTTAGTTCTGCAGCTGTTATAATGTGAAACCAAGATCGAATAATTGCTTCTATTAACTGGGTTTTTTTGCTGGGTCGCTTCTGACTAATAAGTTTCTTTAGTCAGCTCCATAGATTTTCAATTGAGTTAAGGTCTGGGCTATTCCCAGGCCATTCCAGCAGTGGAATATCATTATCTTGAAACCACTTTTTGCACAAAGCAGCAACATGACATGGAGCTGAATCCTGTTGAAATATAAATGCTTCATTGTCTTGGAAAAGATCATGTGCGGAAGGCTTCAGTTTGGGCTCAAGTATTTCATTAATGTACATTTCCATTAATCACACAAACTCTTCCCACACCTTTTGATGTCATACAACCCCAGATCATAACGGGGTGTTTCACGGTACATGTAATGCAATCAGGATTCAAATCTTCTCCGATTCTTCTCTTTACGTATTTTATGCCATCACTACCAAACAGGGAGTTCTTGGTCTCATCACTTCAAATAACACTGTCCCATTGTTCCTCTGTCCAGGTAACATGGGTTTTAGCCCAGTTTACTCTTTTCAACCTTTGCCATGGTTCTGACAGATGAAACTCTTCAAAAGAACTTTGAGGCATTGTTTTCCTTAAAGAATTCGAGAAGCAAAGTATCGGCATTACATACTTAAAGCCAAACACTGAATTCCCCTCCCCTGGGCACAAAGTAGCAAAGCACAATTCCCTGCTCCAATTAACAGTCATAAATCATATTCCCCAATTAGCTTTATTATTGTTATGACTAACTGGACTCTCATCCACATCCCCCCTCCTAGCATCATCTAACTCTAAAAGAGAAAGAGAAAAGATGGCTACATTTCCATCTGTTGTCAAAGCAAGAACATCCGATGTTAGCAGCATTGACAACCTTTGTTTGAGAGATAAAAGTGGCTTTTTTCGTGGAATTTTAGATTTTAGGCCAAATTCCCGCAGTCTGCGCTGAATAGTCCTTGCACTCAACTTCACATTGCATTGCACCATTTCATCTTGTATACACCCACATGATTTTCTTCTGTCATGTAGGCACAGTCTCTTAATTCTTCTATCATCACTTGTTGTTGTGCACCTTTTCCTGCCTTTAGCAGTGTGGTTTTGTAGTGACTGAGTCTCCTCACCTCTTCAAAAACTTAGAAATGCTACCTTTGGTTAAGTTTCCACCAATTTTTCTTCTAATTTCTTTATAACTGTAGCCTTGTTCACTTAATAATACTATTTTACATCGCTTTCTGGGCAACTAGTCAACTCTTTGCACCATTACTTTAATTTTATTACATTTTACAAGCTCACGAAATGAAAGAACACAAAAAAACCCCAATCAACTTGATAGTGATTACATTACACACTGATAAATGTCCTCCTCTCAGCTTCAATACATGACATCAATAACGGAATCCTACTGTGATCTGATTGGCTCATTGCCAAAACAAGATGACACCTGATTGGCTCTCTAAACACTCATGGTCATTGGCTACAATCAGATGAAGGAAAGCTACCTGATATCAACTTAAGCAAGTTGTGCTTCCTTTTTCTGGTTATTTGGCTATAACTTTTCATAGAATACAGATAATTGAACAAACCTTGTTGCATTACATTCTTGATTAAACTATCTTTCCATCGATATATAATTTTATGGTACTACTCCAAAGGAAAGTGGTGTTATTAGCCATCAAACCTCAAATGTACTTTCCCCAAAAAGTTTCCATAATTTTGGCTACTACTACTGTATGTATTTTCCTGTGTCTCTGTTCTAATCTTGTTAGTCTTAATTGCCAATAGCCAGCCTTTAAGCTTACCTTAAATGTTTAAGCTGATAGTTTGTTGGCGCATTAAATGTTTGTTTGCCTTGGGCCAATTAGCTTGGTGCTGAGTCAGACTGATTTGCATTGGATTTTTTTCTGTATTGGCCAATGTATTTCTTGTTTGATTAAATTATATCCTTTTTATTGGGGTGAAGGGGGTGTCTCTCATCATTAAGTACTAATTGTAAATGCATCATTTTATTGCATATTTCAGTACACAAATGTAGATGTTGAGTAAAAATTTAATGCAAAGAAAAAGAATAAAAACATAAGCAATTATTTTACTATATATTACTCATAGGCTGAACACACAAGAAAGAGCAGGATTGTTCAACTTAGCTTTTGAGTCTTCTCCTCTCACACACAGACACACCATGACACATTTGAGAAGAATCTCCTCTTAAAACATATTTATTCAACTTCCATTGACTTCAATCCTTATTTTTTTGAAGTGTTTATGCATACACCTCTCCCCTTCCCCCCACAACTGCTGTGGAATGTGTTCCATGATTTATTGCTCTGCAAATGCAAATGAGGTGAACAGTCATCACTTTGTGAAAGTAGATCAACACTGACTTTGAGGGGAAAATCCAATTTAAAACAGTGACTTTGAAGTTCTGTCCTACAGAACTCCTTCCCCAACTAAAAAAAACTGTGTTACAATACAGGAAGTTTAGGAAGCAGTTGGGAAAGGTTTTGTAAAATACAATTGCTAAAGATAATAATGCAAGACTGAACAAAATACAGGTTTGTAAAACAAAAAAAAATCTTGCACAATCTTTTCCTACACTTTACTCCAAAAAGATAACAGTGTTACGCTATCAACCTACAAAAATGAATGGACTACTTAAAATGTATTATATGTGATCAGAATAACCATAGAAGAAAT